TCAGTTTTGGAGAAGGCTTCAGTGTTCTTTGTGCATATACATTAAAGGAAAAAAAAAAGTTAGTTCTTAATATTTGCGTGGGGAAGAAGACATGGCACAAAGTTTAACAGATGTACGTCTTCATAAACTTTGAACCAAAACCTTAAACACTATCAATTTAATCACTAAATCAGGCAGAAATCCTCATTAAGGGAGAAAAAGTAACTCATTTTAAAAAACTTGCAAGTGAAATCAGTGCTATGAAATGCTGATCTCAGTGTTAGTTTCCATCATAAAACACCCACACTTCCAAGATGCATTTCCCTACAGCATATTATTTTTAAAAGCTCACAGAAAGAGGAAAAGCAGAAAGAACAGTAGAGTGCACAAAGCAGAGGATATCTTCCAAGAGAAATAAATTTCTTTTGTGGGTTTTTGTTTTGGGTTTAAATTTGCCCTTCACAACTTAAAAAATGCAAAACTTATTATGCTCATTATTGTACAGAAGTGTTGAAGTGAATGCTGAAAAGTTTCTGTGGCACATGCAATCAATTTGTAGAATACTGGAAAGAAACTTCTGCAGGACAGCCACTGCAACTAAGCCACAACTTTCCACTCCATCAGCACTGCCTCAATTCAGTCTTCATATTCCAGCGGAATAGAGCTCGAGGGTTGAGAAGACACTTTCATTATACACATTGCTATTTTCTGTAGCTCATCACTTAATGGAGAGATTAGTCTCTCGGGTGAAATATTTTATGCCTGTCCTCGTCCAAAGGTGGATCAGTCTGAAGCATGGTAAAATTCTACCAGGTCACACAGTGCTGTGTGACAGGCACAGCTGGAAGGCACAGTGAGTTTTGTGCTACGCCCAATCTTTACTCCCAGATTGTACCATATACAAAGGTTGCCTTGTCTCCAAATGCCATGATCTCTGTGAAATGCACCACTCCCACTTCGTGAACTGCCTTCCACTTCACCTGTTCTTATGAAGTCCAAACAACCCTGAACTTGTAGAAGCTTTTCAGTGCACAACACAATAAAGCACTGGATCAAATCTAATTACCAGCAACTGGCAGCATCTCATTTCCCCATCTATACCGAAGGAGTAATTGGGTCAGGTTTTGGAAATCTTTAGACCAGAAAGTTCTTTTAATTCCTTCCCTCTAAGTATCCATCAGAGAAGAAGCTCTTGAGCTTCATAACAACCCCTGAATGCTACACTGCAGTATCAGAATTGCCAGGGTTGCAGACTTCACTTGTCTGCCTCAGAGGGTCAGTCCTTCAAACCTCTCTTACAGGGATACAGCACAACCCCTCCCTGTCCTTGCCACTTTGCAAATCCTCTCCATCCATGATAAATTTACAGCTGAATCTGGTCTTTCCTCCTTCACAAATCACTGATTTAGTACTATGTCAACTCAGCCCTGCTTTACCATGCAGCAATGTCCATCTGAAGGCACATAAGTCCACGAGATCCATTCACATCCAGTACATTTTGTGCATGCGGTACCAGGGAATGGAAATCCCTGACTGCTGAAACATGAGATGGAAACAGGCTCGATTTGCAGACACCCTACAATGGAATGTGTGTTGACACCAGATTATATTTGCTTTTCTGTAACCAATAACGGAGACCACCTCTGGGGGCAAAAAACAACCGACAAAAAAATACAAACTCTCAGAGTCCCCTCTTTGGAAGAGATGTGCTATCACTAATGATATTTATAAAGAGGCTTTTGAACATCCCATGTTCTTTTCTTACGCTAAAATGACAGCATTTCACGACAGCCACACAGACACAAAAAGATTCTGCTGGCACAGACCAACGAAATGCTGCCTGCTCATGGCTCTGGTTTCTCTCTACACTGTTTTTGTGGAAATCTCACTGTTGAGCCTGTTACAAAAGTGTAGCTTAGAGTCATACATTTGTGTAAACGTTTGGGCATGGTCATACATTTGTCATTCAGAACAGCATCCTCAAATGTATACAGCATTTCATAGAGTTCAGAAATCAAATGCAGACATGACAGAATGTGTATGTGAATATCACCCTACTGTTAACTTACCATTTCTTCATTTCAAAATCGTACCATCTTTCAATATGTGATCCTGAAAAAGCTGAAATGAAATGAACACTTACATGCTTATCATCCATGAGTATTCGAAACAACATCCATGACACTTGCTGCAAGACCTGTCAATGCAGTTACGTGGTATATGGTGCAGACATGAATGTACGAAATCTTGCGAGCCCAGGCAAGCTTGGTTCACAAACCTATCTACGGAGACTCACAAAATGCTGACATCTCACTTTGCTCTAGAAGTTTCTATGCAAAGAAACATCAAGAAACTGCCATCTGGCTTGTTTGCTGGATTCCATTACAAAGATCATCTGTGCACAAAGAAGGAAGCATCTCTATTGAATGAGCACACTGTCTGGCCTGCAAAACACAAATGGTTTGTGAGAATGACCTGGCTGGTTCCTGGAGCCCAGATCCCAAACTGAGTTTGAAGAGCTTTCAGGGAAAATTAATTATGAGATTTAAATAAAGAAAGAAGTAATTGTACAAAACACATTTACAGACAATTCTGTGACATGTCTATACTGCTTTCAGGGTATAACTATTCCAGAGATAAAAGTTATCACAGTATGGAAAATACCGTCTCATAAGTCTATCACAGGCAACTTTATGGTGATTCTGAGAACGATCTATTTAAGCTCCCCACTCTGTGCACAGAAAAACACTGAAACTGCCTGAAGCACAGTTTGCTGCATTCCAGTCGAACTGTTGTTCTCACTTCAATTTAATCACCTTCACAGGCACACTTACTGAGTGCTTCCATTCATAAATTGCATTTTAATAACCCACCTAATTGCCTCCTTCTCCCCCAGCAAATAAGCTTTTAAGAAGACAGCATCTTTGGCATCCTCTGCTACTTGCAAAATTCAGCTGAGTTCTGCAGATGTTTCTATCTATTGCTTCCTGCAAAAGGTGGCTGAAAGAGGGAAAGAGAAAAATTGAATAAGGCCTGAGGAGCCTGAGAAGTGTAATTGCAACCGAAGCAAGGCACAAAGCTCTATCAGCTTCACTTTAACCACTTCTTAAAGTGTGACAAAATTTGCCTATAGAATAAATATTTGATTAAAAATTATTCATGACAATTGAAAAAGAGTATCAAAGGCTGGATTAGAAAATGAAAGCTAAGCAAATCCTCTCAGAAATTCTGTAGGATTCATTTCTGTACTGGGTCTACACATTTCTATAGTGTCTATCTGCATTTCTATACAGTCTGTCTACAACAGATCTTAGTCGATTGTTGCATTAGAAATAGCTGGAGGGAGGGGGAGGAATGTGTTCCGAATTTCAGAAAAGTCACCATTGCATCAGGTTTTGGACAGAAAGTCATTGCTTATGAAAGGTGCTATCCAAAACACCGACCCCAAACCTCATACATTGTGTAGAGATCCAAGCTCCAACACTTGGAATGCTGCTCAGGCCCATCAATCACTCCCAGCAACCAGATCTTTCATATTTCACAGGAAGCTGCATTGCTGTTGGCAGGGGGTACCTGTGCAACAGTTATATAAAAACTGCTCATCAGCAAACTGGGAAGAAGCCTCTAATATTACCCAGCACAGAATATCAGTTTGCAGAACTGTAAGGATAGTGGTGTAGAAAATCTTTTGGTTTAAATGCAAATTAATTCCTATTCCTGATGCTTAGTGTGAGCTACTGAAAACAACTGCTGCTGTTCACCAAAAAGCACAACAAAGGTGCAGCAGGTGAGTGTTTACATTCTGATACAGATCATTTTGTGCTTTTATCCTCTCCAAGCCTAGATGGTGCATGGAGAAAAAAAATAAGGTTTTAATACTCAAGAGCTGTACTGCACTGCTGTTTTCATTGTTCTCTGCCAATCAGTCCTTGGATCCAGCTGGGAGCCTCCATGGCTGCCTCCTCTGTACCCCCCCAGTGAGCACCTACACAGCTCTGACAAGTTTGCTACCCCTGACCTGAGGACATGATGCCACAGCAAACCTGAAAGAGAAGAAAAAAGGACAACAAAAATGTTTACGCTCTCAGATTTGCCTGTTCTGTGCAACATGAAAATGCTCAACACCATATTCTAAGAGAAACATATTGGCTCTAATAATATGTGTGATTATAAATATTTCCTAGTAACTTTTAGAGAGCTGTATCTAGCATTTACACTATGTATGCATCATGTAAGCTTTATTATGATTAAGCTTGAGAACAGGTTCCAAAAGCATACTGCAAAAGAGATCCTTGCTGGCAGACTTGTTTCTATACATGCACAATTTGCCCTTCTCTTTGCTAGTATCAGTATATTATACAGACAAAACCCTTTTAGCATACATTCATCAGTAAAAACCCAAGAAGAACAAATCAGTATGCCAAAACAGGATTTACAAAACCTAGGTGATGAAGCTCGTTTTCCAAGAGCTCAGAAAAACAGAACGATTTATAACATTTTTCATTCTGATGCCAGAGTCGATTTTCTTCTTCTCTGCAAAAATCCAGTGCACTGAAGATCCCGAAATTATCCAAGTCCATATTGTATGCAGTGAAAAATACCTCACCTGGAAAGGGTTCCTCGTGGACATGGTGAAGTCAGTTTCACTTTTGAGCTCATCATGTATTTTTGTTTCACTTTCACCAAGTCATCGAATCCTAGACTCAAAACTGCCTGAGGTGAGAGGACTGATCTAAAGGTTGTATTTAACAGGGAAGAAGAAAGAATAAGAAAAAATCCATGTATTCTAGGGTATGTTTATTTTTGTGAAGAAAGCTTTCAATACATCATTCCAAAGCCTGCAAAATGGCTTGACATTGATAAAATGACACCTTAAATAATATTCTGCGCAATGCCTAGCTCTTTAGTGGTAGGCTGACTATTTCTAAGATTTACTTGGATATACAGGGGTGAAAATTTGCCCATTTACAATTCGCAGCCTCAGAAATTGTTAGTTGGTTTAGGTCCATCCTCTTTTTTATCCAGAAAGAAAAATTGCTCAGAAAAGCATTAAAATATGTTTCAAACAAGACAACATAAAACGGTATCTCTGACCAGTAACATTAAAATCATTCGGCAGACTCTGCAGAAGAAAGCGCAGAAGACATGACTTCAAAAGAACTTTTAGAAGCAATATCTCAACACTGTTTTTCACTCCAGCCATAACACACATACAGGGAACTCGGGTGACACCAAAGAATCCAACATAGCAGTCAAGGCAGTCATCTTGTTTGCATGAATTCAGAAGACATGTTTCATGTGCTTGATTCCATACGTTCTGAAGAAAACTATGATGATCAGTGCCCAGAGTCCTAAAATAAATCCTCCAGGAGGATGCCAATCCTTTTGTTTTGGTTTCTGAAAAAAAAGAAAAAAAAAAACAAAAAGAGAAAAACAAAGAATTCATACTCAGTTTTCACATCAAACAGGCACCGTGTTGTTGATCAAGTGCAAATAAAAAATGCCCTTGCAGTAGAGAAAATACCAATAAGCTGTATTTCTTCCTGAAGTAGAGGCAGCTTTCTTCTTGATGTGGTGGCAAAGCTGGGCGGGAGGTGAGCTGCCACTCAAGGAGGGAGGTTAAGTACCACAAAAAGACGACCAGAACTATGCCTGAGACACCACTTTGACAGTGCACTTTGATCAGTATTGTGGAACATGCTCAAACTTATTTGTTTGGACTGAGTTTCTTGTATCTGGCCTCATGTTAATACAAGAAAAAAATGCCACATGAAAAACAGTTCCTGTAAGTGAAAATGTGACAGAGAAAAGAGAGTGCTGTTTTTCCAACACTTAGAATGTTTTTTACTGGTCCTTTTGTACTCAGAATTATATGAAAAACCAGGTATCTAACCACATGAGAAGCTAAGATTTGTTACTGAAGGAATATAATAAAACAAAACAGGATTGTTTTTAATGTCAATCACATATCCCAGGGGCCTCATTGAGACTAACTGCTTTTTCTTAACATAGAAATATATTCTTCAGTTCAAATACCTGTCCCTTCAACAATTTTTTCATCTTCAGTAAAAAGCAATACACTGCAATTTGTTAGGGCCTTTCTATATCACACTCAGCAGTAAGACAAGATAAAACCTGCCTGTCCTCTTCCTCCTCTTTAAAGAAATTCTCAGATACTCCACATGCAGTGAGAAATGCATTGCAGAAGATAAGAGCTGCTATGTGCCCCAGGATCTGTCCCTGGGGCTAAGAATAAGGTGCAGTTAGGTGAATGCAGTTTTAGTTAAGAACATCACGACTATCAGAATTACCATATTCAGAAACAGGGCTCAGTCCCTCATGCCTGTGCCTCCTCTTGCCCTCAGCAGGTATGTTTTGCAGATCTCCTAGGCAGACAGAGGTGATTTACTATTACAATAATGAATACTGAGGTGCTGGCTGAGCTTTTTATTCCTGCCTTGCTGAAAGATTTGCACTATTTTGTCCTTGTGTAGAATGAGGCACAAGGGGCACAGACAGTATTCTGGGTTTGTTGCACTTAAGCCAATTCTAAAATTCCCTTTCTGTCCTGTGAAATAACTACTACAAAAGATGGTACGGTTTCAATTTCTGCATGAATCTGTGTATGGGAGCTTGTTGTTCTCTGCTAAATGTAGCAGGTGGCTGGTGAACTTCAATGCAATAAGGAACAGTTTGCAGCATCTGTTCTTTCAGAACAGCTTCCCTATCAACAAGAGAACAATGTTTGTTGATTGCTCTGCTCTTATTTTCTAAGCTACAGAGGTTTAGCTTTAGGATTTTTCCTTCAAGTATTATGTTTGTAATTAAAAAGTATAACAAACAGCCATGTCACCCAAGACACCCGGAGAACCTGGCAGTCTGAAATATTAATGATTTGCCTCTGATATAGGAATCACAGAACCACCATTATAATTTACATCAACAACAACAAAACCAAAGATACAGCAGAGATGGTGTGTGTATACACAAGCCCCACAATCTCTGAAGCAGCATTCATCATCACTCATCATCAGCGTACGTGCTGTTGGTAATCTGCCACCTTGCTGACACAACCACACATCTCCACATCAGCAGAGAAAACCAACTCTGCATGTTCAAGAAGGCTGCCAGCACACCTCGCTTCTGAAAGTAACAGAACACGACACTTTTCCCCACAAAAGAACTTTCTTGTTTAAATCCTCCTAATTAACCCATATCCTTCTTGCAGTGCCTGTTTCATCCACCTCTTTGTACTATCAATCTTTCCTTTCTTGGATCTCAGACAAATACCTTACCACAAAGTGGCATCTGACCCTTCTAGACAAATGACTTCAATTTGCAGTCAGTGACACTAAAAGCCTCTCTCTCCTATGTTGTATAGAGCACATAATTTAATTTCTTTAAAGAATTTATATGAATAAATATTTATAAGGTGATCTATGAGTATGGTTTTTCATTTTGTCATGCCATATACTGAAACATCCATGGAATTCCACAAGGAAACAGAGGCCAGTGCAGTGGTGGCTCCGCACTGGGAAATCAAGGACACGCATACAGTCAGTTTAAAGCCATGAGATGCAATGTTAAAATGGGAAGACTTAAAAACATGAAGGAATGACAAAAAAATACAGGAGGCTACACAACAGCCTTTAAGATTACTTAGTAATTTTAAAAATAAATTATCTTCATCAGAAAGATTTACAGACCCAGAACTGAAATCTACACACATACTAAACCACAGTAAAAAGGCAAAGAGATGTAACTCTATTGTACATCTCTAAGTCAATAGTGAGGTTAACTGAGCACAAAATTATACTGAAATATGCCAGGATTTTCCACTAGGGGCATACAGACATCAAAACCTTTTGAATACCTAAAATGGAATTACACAGATTCATATCTAAGCCCACAAAGTATAAGAGCTGAAATAGGTAATTTTCTTTAAATTAACTTGATCATAGATTCCCAAGTTCATCACGGAATTAAAAATGTAGTCAGTTGTCAAACCGACAAGTTCATCCTTCTAAAATCATGACAAATATAACACAGAAAATGTCAATAACAGATCTTTGTCCAGCTGGGCACTTCCACAAGCAGCAAACAGCACTGAAGCTCCTTTACAAAAAGCTGCATTTTGCTCCTGTGAATCAAACTCATTTCTGTGTAAAATGGAGTTGCTGCTTCCATCAATTATGTCAGCAAGTTGCGCTTGTAACACAGGCTGGCAAAGAGCTTTCAGCCAGCACCGCTGTAAAGGCAGACCCAACAGTTCTTTCCTCTTGGCACAGCTGTGTCACTAGCAAAAGCACTGCCTGTGTACTTCTGTCAGCAAGGAAGCAGGCACTGCTCCCAGCCGTCACAGCAATGCCAGCAGTGTTGCATGATGAAGTCAGAGGCCAAGGCATGATGCCCTTCTATGAACATAGCTAAGCCTTAACTGCATTGCTGCATAAAGTGCTTTGACTGTTCTGCGCAGACAGGCGGGGAAGAGTCACAGAGATTTCTCCCAGTGGGAAAAATTATTAAAGCAAGACAGAATCACTTTAAGAGCAAATGAGTAAATTTCCTTTTTAGATCCACATACCAGAAAAATGGTTTAGAAAAAACAGAGTTTCTTTCTACGCTTATACTAGTTCTATGGCCATAAACAGTCCCCAGATAAGCTGTTCCTTTGCACCATGTTTAGGTTTGATCAGAAAGCACTAGTGAATATAAAGTTTTTCCCAGATTCCTAAAAAAAAAAAAAAAAAACAAACCACCAATAATTCAGTATTTATCCTATGCACATTCCCTAGTTCAGAGTCTTATTCCAGCAAATTTCTGCAAAAGGCTATTTTTGAAAGTCACGCATTTTCTCACTTGAGAGGAAATGCTAAAGGGATAAAAAATGTGAAGTGTTGCAGTATTTTCCTTTGCAATTAATTATGTATCTTATTATGCCTGAACTGATGTGAGAATGTGTTCTATTAAAAGACTACAGATCAGTCGCAGAACTTGCAAATGATGCATAACTTCTCGTATTTGGGACTGATCTGGAGGAGCAGAAGCAATAGCTCTGTTGGCTCGAGTTACTCTGAATTTCATTGCTGTGGTTCCCACCTCAGAACTCAGTATACACCAAGTGCTGCTTTTGTAACTGACATAATAGGTTGGGTTTGCAATATACACAACATAACACCAACACCCTCTTTATCTCTCCAGTAATAGCAGGTACACACTGGTGGAACGCACATGTAACACAGTACGGTGTGTCAAAATGAACAAATACACTTAGCAGCTTAAGGGCTAGTCGTTATCGAATTGTTGGAGATTCCAAATTAAAAAGATAGGTAGCTAAGCAACAGCAAGCTTCCTCCTGTGAACAGTTTTCTGTCATATGCTCTCTAGTTCTAGTAGACTCATTATCCTGTGGAACTTAAGAACAGTTAACAGAGAGTTGCTCCAAGTACTGTAATTAAGGAGAGGATAAAACAGTGTATTTTCAAACTGGATGGGTCTGGAGGGACCCAAATGGAAAGTATCCAAGACTTTCAATGAAGGTGTTTCATAAAACATGCGATACTTGTTACTTCAATTCAAATTTTGAGCTCTATGCAAAAAAAAAGTAATGAAAAAGCATTAAAGCTGAATTAAGATAATTAGATTAAAAGTGGTTTAATTTTAAAATGTTACATCACAAAAAAAAAATTAAAATATCATGTATTAACATTTCATGGGGAAAACACTATGGTAAGTATGATTATAATCCATACCCTACAGTCCTCTTCCAACAGAACTCCCTTTGCGTTACTGTTCACAGTCAGGACAAAATAAAGGTACAGAAAGCTTTGGGTTAAACTCGTAATTCGCATTTGGATGGCAGCAGTAGAGAAAGCAGTGCATATAGTCTGGACTGTAGTAATTCCCAAATGGAAAAGGGATATGCAAATTCTGCAGTCTCCTCCAGCATCTTATTCTAAATCAGGCTTTAAGAAAGTGAGCAAAACCTGGAAACTGATGTGCACATCATCCTTGTTACGGGGAATGTCCTCCCCAACCTGAGGCAGATGGTGTGTTTGCACCACAAGTGCAAAATCTCTTATGCAACTGCACAAAACCAAACCACTACAAGTGCTGTGTTCCAACGAGCCCATTAAAGTGGCAGCTATCGTATTTCAAATTCTTAAATTCAAATGCTTAATTGTCTCTGCAGTTTCAGTGCAGAGTTCCCTAGACCCAGTTTTGGCCTACTTACTGCAGCACATGTGGTTTAAGATGTCACCCAGGACTCTGGGGCTGCCTGGAAAAGAGCAGCAGCTATGGCACAGGGAGAATCCTGTGCACACCCCTCTGTGGGGTTCTCCACCTCTACTAGTCTTGGGGATCAGGAAGCACTTGAAGGGAAGTGATACACACTT